GGTCATGTAGTGCAGGCGCCACAATGCAGTAGTACCATAGTAGTGTAGTACAGGCAGGCGGTACAGATAAGCCAGTTAGGAACTTGAATTTTTTAAGGGTCGTCACAAAACAATTTTTCTCAATCTTTAGTGAACACCAGCTTCATGTGGAAGGTTTGAAGACACAAACTATAGGCCCTATTCCCAGATCTCGATATGTATAGTCACACCTCATGAGTAAAAATATTTTCTTCTTTGGTAATAAGTTGAACAACTCAAGTATAACCTATGTCACTGCCTGCTAAATTTTGGGACAAAAGATAAGCTTTTTAAATAGTTCTAAATGTCCCTTGACTCAGTTACAACAGAATGTAGTTGACCCTGAATACGGCGTGCAAGGACCAAAAACTGCAGCCATTAAATGTGCTATGTTGTGCTTAATGTCTGGCTGAAACAGAAGGCAACTGACAGGCCCACCAATATAAGCAATCTGGATGAAAGGGTACTGTGCCGTGAATTCTTTATAATTACACAGTTCACTTTAATTCTAGTGACTGAGCGATTTAATAACCAAGTTCCAAGTAAACAAACATTTCAGGGATTTTTTTTTCCACACTTTAAATACAAGTTTGAGACTAAGGGAGGAAAAATTGGTGACAGCCAACAGCAGGCACCTCGGAGCTCCAAGGAGTTTGAGAGACCCATGGAGGCTCCTGAGGGTGATGCAGATAAGGAAAAGGCATCTGTAGAGCCTCAAATAGCTCTGGAACAACTTTTTAAAAAGGCAAGTCTTATGGGAAGATGCTTTAAAAAGTGGACTCATGAAACTGCAAAGAAAGATGGCAGCATAGAGCCATGTACGGCGGAGAATGATGAATCTATGCCTTCCTATAGATTCTATATCTATATATCTATGCCATGTCTCAACCAATAGGCTGCAATCACAAAGGTCATGTCTGATGAGCCCTTAGGTGGCCAGTACCAACAATAGGAAGATGGCCTAGAGCCCCTGTAGAAACAGGTCAATACTGAATAGAGCCAGCCTTAGGCCTGGCATCTGCTCCGAGCATGGAACCTGCAGCACTCACTGCCCACAGTCAACAAGCACAACAGTTGTACCCAACACCTGGCACCAAGGACAGGGTGGTGTGCAGCAGCCTGGAGCTTCTGCAGAAATAAGTTATTACTGAATAGTGCCTGTCCTAGGCTCACTTGGAACCACTGTGGCTGCAGCCTGCTCTACCTGTCTTGCTGAGAGAGGGAGAGCACAGGACAGTGGTGCAGCCCATAGGCTACAAGCACAAAGGTCAAATCGGACAAGCCTCAGGGTGGCTGACATCAAGAGCAGGGAGGTGTGTGGGAGCCAGGAGCTGCAGCAGTCTGGAATTTGCATGGAACTTGCCCCTGATGCCCTGCCTAGTTGTAACATCACCCTGACTATGGGCGACAACAGAATATACGAGCAGAGTCTATGCAATGGTTCAATATTTATGGTGCTTCAGAAACCAGAAAATTTGAACCAGACCAAAGCCTCATGCAATGAATATTTGCATGTAAAGTTGTTTGGGATATATAAATATATATATATATTGTGTGTGTGTGACACATTGCAGCACGCAATGTCAATACGACAGACAAGTATGCATTGGAGAGGTGGGAAAGATGGAGGAATAGAGCAGTGTGCGATGGTGGTGGCAGGTGTGAGAGAAGGCTACAGAGGACGGGGACATGTCACTGCTGAGCAGGGCCAAGAGGGTGGTGTGCAGCAGCCTGGAGTTTGCGCATACTCAGCCCCCAAACATGCTGCCCAGTTACACTATCGCCTGGTTTTGAGAAACGGATAGGATGTTCGAGATGAGGAAAACGAGATGGCTCGTTTTCTGGATTGGACCTCCTCTAACAGAGGCATTTCTCAATTGAGGTTCCCTCCCTTCAGATGACCCCAGCTTGTTTCAAACTGACATAAAACTAGCCAGCACAACACTCATTAAAGTTTCTGTTAGAACATTCTCCATATCCATCCAACAAAGTACTGGGAGAGCACTATAAGCCAACCCTTTCTGCACCTCTTCAGACTAACAAAAAGCTCTGTTAGATTGAAAAGAGTATCACAATTTAACATACCATAGTTGATTATACTTCATATATGTAAGAAAAGAGAACACTGAGAAAAACATGACCATTTGTTTACAAGTGCAGATTGTATAGCAACAGAACCTAAGTGCAATACAATCTTAGTCAAAATAGTACATTTGCTATAATCAATAAGCTAATGAGAATATAAACTCTCATCTTCTTATAGCGAAAATTAAAAATTATCCACTAATTTCTTTTTACACTGAATTTTAAATTGTGCGAAGAAAAATCTCGTAAGAAAAACACTAAACAAATGGGTTCAAAATAAACTTTACAGTGCTGCTGCTGCTGCTGCTGCTACATGGACCTTCTCAAATACCAGACAGGGTGACCAAAAGGCAAACTAACTCTGAGACCGGTCCCTGGTACCTCTAAAAGCTTTACATGTAGAGGACAGAAGCTCAACCACTGGAAGCCCTTCAGCCCTGTGGTAAGAGTTGTGTCAAGCCACAGTGTAATAACATTTTCACAAGGTTACAGTGTCAAGAGCAGGGTTTGATATGTCTGGATTATGCGAACCACAAAAGAATGCAAACCTCAGAGTCAGGATGCTGGTTCACAAGGAGGCAAAATCCTTTTGAAATTGTGTCCATGGCATGGCCAGGGGAAAGTACCAGATTAACCCACCGTAAGAAATCAATAAAACACTTGCCCTTCCTTTGTTCACTAAGCAGTCTGGTCAGCATGTCTCAGCAGGTACAGGGCACTGTCCCACAGCCTCACAATCTCAGGTTGATCACAGTTGTTTTCTCACTTCCACATGTGTGCTATGACACATACCACACACACCATAGCACACAACCCACATGCACACGTGCACACACAGATACACATATACACACCACACATACCACACACCACAT